AGGAATGCTATAAAACACAGTCCTGAGCCACGTGCATCCATCAACTTCCTGCAACTTTAACGAGGTCGTCACTCCATCTCAAGACTGTTTCTTCTCCAACGGTTGTCGGTTTACCGAGCTATACGGACAGCTCATTGCCACTTCAGCTTACTGAACCGTTGCGCTATGATGATTACTCTGGTTTTATTGCGAATATACCCACTACGAAGTTTATAGCATATATAGAGAAACTCCCTAGCATAGCCCTCTACATAGCTCGCTGAGAGACCTTGAGCTTACTTATACGGCCAGTAGTAAAGAGCCTCGTCTCAGATCCATATGACATTACTGGCAACTTGCGCTGTTTGTTATTAAAAAACGATTAATAATCAAAGGTCACTTAAATGTTTTATAAATTCAAAAATACGGAAAGTCTGATAAAATTTTGGTTGCCAATGAACCACTATACTTGAATTGAACTTGTAGTATTACTTTTTATATTAAATAAACTACAGACGAAACACTTAAAATGTAAATCGTATACATTAACATTGGACTAAAGAATGACAGCAGTTATTTGTTGAACCTGTAAATTTACTCATTTATTTTGGCCAACAAGGATCATAGCGTAATATTACATTCATCAAGTTAATTATAATATTAAAAATTTAAATCATCACTAAAATTACTATATTAACATAAATATTCATAATGATATTTAAAATATAATTAATTTTTAATAGTAATAAAATAATAAACACCGATGTCACCGTAAGTTACAAGAGACCCAACGTAATTATATATGAACAAAACCGACAAAATTTACCTTAATAATCTAATAATAATAATAATTCCTTTATTGCAGTCCATAATTTGTAAAAGATACACAGATTTTTTTAATCTATGTAATTAAGAGTAGGTTATCACGTGATAGAGAAATCCTGCAGCTATATTAGTATATAGAACAGTTGTAGCACGAATGTGTCGGCTCGGTCGGGGAACGACCACGCTCCCAAAATACCAGCGTAAAATAGCAGCAGGAGAATCGGAGATCCATTTCACTGGAAACAAAGCATTACATCTTAGTCCTTACATGTGACAACGCATCTGCATTTTGGTTCGTTCAAATCAAATCATTTATTTCGCTAAAACATGGGTACAGACGGATGGATAGAGAGTCAATATTTGTTTTCACAGATTTTGCCTCTTGAGGCATGCAAAAAAATTGTTTAATTTCTTTAAAATAAATATTTTCAAAACAAATGAAAAAAATTAAAAATTAAAAAAATAAAACTAGAAGTAAACACTGTAATGTTATATGTATGTTTTTAGGAAAACCTAACAAAATTAGAAAAAAATAATTTTTGTTCATTTGAGAAGAATCACGCATGGATCTATAGTAATTTACATAGTTAAGCCAAATCAATGAAAAATAAAATCGAAATTTATGGGTAAATAATTCATTGTTATTATAAAAGGCAGTATTTATTAGCCACTGCTTTAAACTTTTTTTCATTCGCCTCAATGGCTGTGCACGAATATTTTTAGGAAAATTAGTATAGACCTTGATACACGTTATGAGACAGTACCTGTGGAATAATGTAGTCTACAAGATGGCATGAGTAGACGTGTTGGATCTCTTTTTGCTACATATTTATTATTTTTCCTGCACGGTAACAAATTGATTAGAATTATTTTAATGAAAACACAGATTTCTAATATATATATAACCCAGTTAAAGTGAGAATACTTTTTTCCTTAAGCAGGGGTCACGCTTTCAAGAGGGCCTACATTACACAGTACACGAATACATTTCTTCTGACTTAGGAAGACTTTGTTTGCGTCACTTGTGTTGCCCCACAAGAGTAGTCCATATCTTAAGACGGATTCAACATGCCCGTAGTAAGCAACACGTGCTACTTTTGGACCTGCTACATTTTGAAGTTTACGTAGTGCATAAACAAATTTATTAATTTTTTTGGCATACTTTTTTACGTGCAATTTCCAATGTACATGCTGGTCAATAGTAACACCTAGGAATTGTGTATCTACTCTACTTGTACCTCTACCAATCTTTCGCCCTTATATCTTAAGTCCAATTTTTGGGGTTTTGTTTTATAATTTTCAAATTGAATGTATTTAATTTTGTTAGTGTTGACTCGTAAATTATTATCTTCTAGCCATGATATAACTGACTCTGTATTAGAATTTATTTCTTATTCATATATTTGTGACTTATTAGTGTGGGCTATAATAATTGATATTTTATCAGCAAATAGTACTGACTGCTGTTTTGTTATATTCGGTAAGTCATTTATATATAGAATGAACAACAAAGGCCCTAAGACACTCCTTTTTTCGTTTCCGATTTGTCAAATAACTTTCGATCCATTCCAAAGACGGTCCTCTGATTCCTAGTTTTTCACATTTGTACAATAACTTGCTGTGTTCTACACAGTCAAAAGCTTTAGATATATCAAAAAAGATGCCTACTGTTGGTACTCTATTATTAATATATTCAGTTATTCGACGTATCAGTGAAAAGCTAGCAAGTGTAGTAGATTTATGCTTTTGACAGCCATTTTGTTCGTTTCTGAGTATATTATATTTTGCTACAAATCTAGTAATTCGACTATGCATGGCTTTTTAAAATATTTTGGGTAGAATGGGTATCAACGTAAACGGCCTATAGTTATGAATCTCATCACGGTCGTCGTTTTATAAGGGTTTGATTATAGATGTTTTTAATTTATCTCGAAATCTTCCATGTATGAAAAAAGGTTTATTAAATATGTCAGAATTGGTGCAATTTCTCTCACACATGATTTCATCGTTTTCAAGGATATATGCAAATGTCTATGATCCACAGCAACCGTTTACCATCAGGTGAACTTTAAGTTTTTTTTGTCACTCTAAGCTTATAAAAGAAAGGTAATAAATTTAAAAACAATATTATTTCATATACTTGAGGTGCCTGACCGAGGTACTGAACACACACCCAGTGTCTCAATAAAGCACACTTGCGTTTCTCGCTAATTACGTTAAGAAAATAAAAACACCTCTACGGCAGTTTTTAGACATATGACTATCATTTATACATATACGATGGTGCTCTTTGTATCTGGGTTGGGTTCACATCTGATTGAAAGACTGCCTTACTTTGATGTTTTATTTATTAACATAATTGAAAAAAAAATATTTCTGTAACTTGAGTAACATGTACGCTTCCACAGCTCAAAGCCTTGCTGATCATAAAATCGCTGATGATACCATATACTATTTCATCTCTGTAGTTAGGACGGTCCGACAAGTGATGGCACTCACGGAGGGCTTTTATCCGAACCAGTAAGCAAATAATTCGATCTGTGGATTGCATTTATTACACGTAGACATGAGCAACTTCGGTAGATAATTATACTTATGCACTACTATGGGATGATGCCTATCTTTTAGTGTTTCACCAGTTATTTTGCTGTGGATAGTACTGTTACGATCCAGTCGCCAACTTTTCGCTACTCTTACCATAACGGCGTTAATGTGTATAGAGACGTGTCCTTCTCAGATTTTTAAATTGTAAGAGAGCAAAGACTGTATCGGTCTGTATTTGTATATACATATTGTGAGCTCCTTTTAACTGTGAACGGATTGTTAATTTATAAGGAATAACCTGATGTGTCTGAATGGAATAGGCACAAAATGTTCATTACAATACAATACAATACATAACTTTATTTCAGGCATCAAAAACTTAAAAATTGAGAAAATTAGCCCATAGCAATATATACCTTAACCTAAAAATATGAATATAACACTATTTAGGGAACTTTCTTCTTTGGCGCGTCCCTGTACCCCAGAGGGCCAGAAATCGTGAGCAAGAAATGTCTCTTTGTATTTTGCAGGAACCTGGAGTACGTAGGATTTGAAGTTCATGGCCTCTTAGATTCAATTATTTTTCATTGCTTTACCCATTTTGAACCTTTTTTGTGAAAAATTGGTTTTCATAATTACATTAGATGTTAGATATTATTTTGTATGCCAAGAGTTTATGCTTTAATATTCAATTTTACAAAAGACGCCAACTACGACTGAGTTAATAAATAAACAAATTGTAATAAAGGTAGTATTTATATTATTCACGCTAATAAACTAATTATAAAAACGGCATATTTAGGTACCTGTATAAATATCCTTTGGAAAGGACAAAATGCATTAGCTTGGCCACATTTTTATTTCAAGTTTAGTATATCCTCAGCGGTTAGCATAGACCTTAGAGGAGGGAAACATGTTTGTTTTTAAATTCCAATTCGCTGGGATTCTTTTAAAATATAATATGCTATATATGCTAGCTGTTGCCGTTTTTAAATTTATTAAAGGTATGTGCGTAAGTAGAAAAGTTTATAATATTTTTGTTTCTTAAAATTGGGGTGATATCGAAGAAATAATATTCATACTCTGAATGTTTAATTTATTTTATCAGAAACTCTTTAATAGACATTTTTATGTTGCAACTGATTGGAAATAGCGATGAACACACATTTTAAGGATTTCTTGTATGACAACAGAAACCTAAAACCCTAAAAAACTTATAGTGAATCGAGTAATTTGTACTAGTTATTAAGGTACAAAACGACATTTTTGATGTTGATTTTTGTATATGTTAAGTATTAGATCGAGCAAAATAAATTTAATGTTACCTTCCGATATAATTACATATAATTGTCGCCGACCACTATTAATAAATATTACATTTATATCCATTAGTCCAGGCCTTTGCCGTCGAATGTATATTGCATTAAATTGGTTTGAAGGTGGTCAATGTGCAGATAGAAAATAAATAATAAAAGGAAGTACAGATAAAAATAACGTTTATTTTGGTATTTAACAAACAATTATCTATCACAAAAAATAACAAGATGTTGTTTTATATTACTTAGTCAATATCTTATATTACTACACACACAATACAACATTGTGAAATATCTATATTTTAATATCACGATAGCAAATTGAAACTTCTAATATTATAAACGATTTGACGATGGTCTCGTTTCCATATATTTAAAATTAATTCGCCTTTTTCTTACTATTTCAGCGTAATTAAATGCAGATAGTTTAGGAGTTCTTGTCTTTTCTGTGCTATTGAAATCTACATGGAAAAGTCCAAATTTAACTCTGAAACAAAAACGTAATAAGTGAGTAAGTAAGTTCCAAAAAATAAGAAGGAAAATGAAGACGAAGGATCCTTATTTGCAATGTTTCCTTTAGTGATACAAAAAATGGAAATGAATCCTGATCAATGAATCATGACCCTACAAAATGCCATGTAAATATTATTTTTTTTTATAGAAGAGGGGGCAAACGAGCATGCGGCTCACCTGATGTTAAGTGACTACCGCCGCCCATGAACAACCGCAACACCTGGGGAATTGCATGTGCATTGCCGGCCCTTTAGAAAGGAGTACGCTCTTATCTTGAAGGTCCCCAGTTCGTATCGGTCCGGAAAAATCGCTGGTGGTAAACTATTCCACAGAGAGGTTGTACGCGGAAGAAAACTCCTCTTGAAACGTACAGTGGTGGACCGCCAAGCATCCAGATGATGTGGATGGTATCGCGACGTTTGCCGCGTAGTGCGTTCACGAAATTTGGCGGCTGGGATTAATCCGAACAATTACTCAGAGCACTCGCCATGGTAAATGCGAAAGAAAATGCAAAGATATGCAACATCTCTTCGCAGTGCTAGTGAATCGAGCCGATCGGAAAACACTCGGTCGTCGACGATTCGAGCCGTTCTGCGCTGGATGCGGTCAAGTGGAAGGAGCTGGTACTGGGGGGCCCCAGCCCAGAGATGGGAACAGTATTCCATGTGCTATCGAACCTGCGCCTTGTAAAGTTGCAGGCGGTGTGCCGGCATGAAATACTGTCCCGCTCTGCTGAGCACGCCAAGTTTTTTAGAGGCCAATTTGGCCTTCTCTCCCAAGTGACCACGAAACTGCACGTCACTCGATATGTCGACGCCGAGGATTCCGATACTGGCTGAGGCAACAAGGGGAGTGCCTTGAAACTGAGGAGATACGACAAAGGGGTTCTTTTTAGCGGTTAACGCGCAAACTTGCGTCTTCTGGGGGTTAAACTGGACTAGATTTAGTCGCCCCCAATCCGAGACTCTGTTCAGAAAAGACTCGACTTCAGACACAAGTTTGTCCCGGCACTCGGAGACGTTTTCCCGAGAAATATTGGCTCGGCCGGTGTAAAGAGCATCACCAGTGCTGTCATCCTCATATCAATGAATGTTACGAGTTTGCAACATATAATTGATATGCAGAAGAAACAGCGTTGGCGATAGCACGCAGTCTTGTGGAACACCAGCATTGCTTGGCTAGGCTGCTAGGCTTGCAATCGGAGCTTACACCGTCTACAGCAACCTTGATGCCCCGATCTGCAAGAAAGCTGGTGATCCAATCGCACAATTTCTCGGGAAGCCCGTAAGGAAGGGAGCTTCGAAAGAAGCGCTTTGTGCCAAACCCGATCGAAGGCCTTCGCAATGTCCAAACTAACGGCCATTGCCTCCCCCTTGGACTCTACTGCCTCCGCCCATCTGTGAGTTAGGTAGACCAGAAGATCACCAGCTGACCGACCACGGCGAAAACCGTATTGGCGGTCCCTAATCAGCTGGTGATCCTCAAGGTACCTCAGGTAAATTAACTAATATTCGAAATAATAATTAAAACGTACGTAATCACACACAAAATTTGAACCACAAACTTAGGTATATTACGAAAAAGAATAGAACAAATTATTTGAATTTATTCCGTTATAGCCGATAAAAAGTCCAGTGTTGAACATAGGCCCCGTAGATTGCCTTATAAATATGCCTTAGATATTTTTCATTGTTGTCACGCTCTCCTGTTTTTTGTTATTAAGTTTTCACCTGGTTTGTTTCATTCTGTTTTCTCTTACGACACCCATGGAGGTTTTGTTCAAATATGGGGCGATAGATATTCTTATACCGGTATTACACTGTTTCATCAATTAAAAATTGTGAATACATTAAATTTTTTGATTTAATGTTATAAATATGAGTACTTTATTATGTAAACATGACAGGTTGTGGTGAGGTCCGTTGTATTAAAATAATATACTCGACTATTAAAGTACATAAGTGTGAGACGTTAAATGACCATATTATAAGTACAATAATAATAATAAATTACTGACGGCGTTTAATTACTTACTTTTTTATATGTAAAATTAGTTAGTGCGTAATTATTGTTGTATAGATCTTCGATCACTAAGTTTTTTATTAGCGATCGATGGTATAGATCCTTGATTTGTTAAGTGTACAGTAAATAAAAACTTTACATTAGATAAACAAAAAATCATATAATTTAATAATATTAGAACTTTACATGGTTTACACTAATTAAGATTTTAAAAATTCATCAATAAACAACACGATGTTAAAGTCATTTCATAATCATTCGTAACAGTTTTTTTTTTGTAATTTTTAGACAAGATTTCATATTATGGTGATTTAATTAACTTGATGGTTTGACCTTGTTTTTAATATTGATACTATCAGACTAGCATTATAACTAGTAGAATTTAAATTCTTATTACTGCACGTTTTAAAATGTATATTATAGAATTAATTTCAAATAAACAAACGCGGATACTACTAGAACTTGTTTTGTCCACAATAAGGTATTTAGAGCAAAATGCTGCTTTGAATTAATTTTATATTCATGATAAAGCGTAATTATACGAAAACCTAACTAACCTCGAGTTTTGAGAGCTCTTAATTCAATTACTATTTGAACATTTATATCAAAGCGATAAGAATAATCTCGTTCATTTATTACTATTATACTATAGCAAATATAAATAAATATAATTAATTCAATTATACGCGCATTATATGTATTTAAGGACAGCAAAAACATGAGCATACCATCTATTGTAGATTCAAGTGATGTGTATTCGTGATATAAAATTAATAATACGGCATTAAATAACTACTGCAGTAAAATAGTTGTAAGTTAAAGTTAAATTTACAGCCCATATACGTCCCACTGTTGGGCACAGACCTTCTCTGGCCTGAGAATGTTTTAGGGCAAGGAAATAGGCCGCGCTGCGTCAAAAGCGTGTTGGCGAACTTCACAAGTCTTCGAAATATTTTTTTTCTTATCAGACATTAATTGTCTTATTATATTTATATATATTTTTTTCTTATTTCTCAGGCAATTAACAATTTCCGAACGAATCCGGGTTGCTCGCAGACTGTGAGATACTTGCGTATGATATTTGCGTTGCAGTATACTTTATCTTTAAGCAATCTGGTATACCACACAAATTTTTGCGCACAGAGATATTTGTGGATCGTAATATTGTTACAGTTAAACACTGCAATTTACATTATCTACGTGCCATTACGATGTACATCTGTAATCAACACCATATCTGTTTGTTCATTAATCGTTTCAATTAATGTGAAACGATTATAATTAAATATCAAAATTTTATAACAAAATTAACGCTATTCAATACGCTTCTGTTTAAAGAAGTTAATAAGTATTATATCAATCCTGGGTTTGTATGGAACCGGCCTATACAAAAATGTGGTGCTTTATTTTAATTCTTTCATTCAGGGAATGTTTTTCTTATTGCGTCGGAGCAATAATCAATCTTATCACATATATGCAAGATCATGTCTAAAGCAATTTAAAAAAAATGTAGCTACAGTGCAAACGATTAGAAGCACGTTAATATGTCTATAGCGAAATAATAGTATTGTAAGTACAATTTAGCTAAGCTTTGCTCTTTTTCTCTATTGCTATTATACCCAAAAGCGTTGAACTTATAAAATTAATTATTAAAAAGATGACAAAATAAACTGCAAAATTCACGTAGCAAAGCCATGCAGCAGCTCTCTATATTATGGTTGTAATACGAATGGGTCGGCCCAATTCTCTCGCAGAATACCAGCGTAAAATAACAGCTCTGTCAACCTTATTCTGTGACAGAAATTACTAATTGCGCTGTTTTGTAATATGATGTATCAATGTAATAAAATTTATATATATATATATATATATATATATATATATATATAGTCTTTTCCATGCGCATGATTGCGGAGAAGTTTTTGGCCAAAAACCAGAAAGTTTTTTTTGTGCGTTCATGGACTTGGAAAAGGCTTATGACAGAGTGGACAGGAATGTGTTATGGCAAACACTGAACTCATATGGGTTGAGCGCTGGTTTGATACAGGCATTAAGGTCTCTTTATAGGGACTCTAGTGCTTGTGTCAGGATCAATGGGGTCTACTCGGACTGGTTTGGCATCCAAAAAGGTGTCAGACAGGGCTGTGTGGCTTCCCCTTGGCTGTTCAACCTATTTATGGACCGGTGTTTGCAAACTTTGAAAGATGAAGAATGTGGGTTAAGAATGGGCGAGTTAACCGTCAAATGCCTTTTGTATGCCGATGATCAAGTCATACTTGCGTCATCGGCGGCAGAGTTGCAAATGATGGTTACATTAATGAACTGGGAATTAAAAGAAAGGGGAATGAAAGTGAACGCAAGAAAGACGAAAGTGATGGTTTTTGAAAGAGAAGAAAGCAAAACGGTATGTGAAATAAGAATAGAAGGAGAGTTGATTGAGCAAGTGGATGAGTTTGTGTATTTGGGATGTGTATTTAGCAGGGATGGTAGATATGATAGGGATATAGAACGACGAGTAAATGCAGGGAATAGAGTGAATGGGGCACTACACTCTATTATGAAGAACCAGAATTTGTCAAAACAGGCACGTATGGTAATTCATAATGCTGTGTTAGTCCCTACTTTAATGTATGGTAGTGAAAGCTGGGTGTGGCAGAAGAAGCACGAAAGTAGAATAAATGCTGTAGAAATGCGGTCTTTAAGGAATATGCTGGGGTGTAATCTGAATGACAGGGTGAGAAATTGCGTGATAAGAGATAAATGTGGTATGCAAGATGATGTTGTGACCAGGATTAAGAAAGGAATGCTTCGGTGGTTTGGTCACGTAGAAAGAATGAATGAGGAAAGAGTGACAAAGCAAATTTATATGGCAGATGTGAATGGCCGAGTCGGGAAGGGACGCCCTAGGAAAAAGTTTACCGACCAAATTGGCGATATTTTGAAAATGGGCCACGTTAGAAGTACCCTTAACCGACGAGCATGTATGCGTAGATATATGGATGTAAAGGAGGCGAAAGAGGTATGTCAGGATCGTGCCAAATGGAAGTCCGTAGTCTCTGCCTACCCCTCTGGGTGACAGGCGTGAGTGTTTATGTATATGTATGTATGTATATATATATATATATATATATATATATATATATATATATATATATATATATATATATATAATTTTATATATATATACGTGGTAATTACTTACGTGTATCCATCCTTCCACTCAAAGTCGTCCATTAGTGTCCACGCAAAATATCCTTGAATATTACAGCCATCTTCATGAATCGCAAGTAACAATTGGTAAAGATAATTATTGTAGTATGAAACACGAGCATAGTCGTTTATCTCTTCGAAGTCTGACATGCCGTTTTCAGTGACTATTATTGGAATTTTCGTTCCGTAATTCTTTGTAATCCAATTGAGAAGTCCCCGAAAACCTGGTGGGTACACCTAAAACAGTATTCGTATTTTAATATCTTATTTAGCATCCAGCAGACATTTGACAGCTGACTTGTTCTTGTAGATTGGTTGAAGGAATAAGTACAATCGTTATGCCTATCACGCAGATGTATGATTGCAATACCAATCAGCTAGCGAGGAGAAGAGTGAATTGGATCTTCCTACTAAGTCACAAGATCTTTATGAGCTATGGCTGCATCACCGTTCACAGTGCAATTGCTTACGTAGTAGAGCCATATTGAAGTTATATTACAGTAGTTGTAGTACGAATGGGTCGGCTCGACCGGGGAAGGACCACCTTCCCTCAGAATACCAGCGTAAAATGGCATTTTCACCCTGCTGTGTTTCGTAGAGAAACGGGGACCCTTGTATATAGTATAATAGCTCATAGCACAAAATTATCGCGCACCATACATTGTTATGGACACGTTCAGACTGCACTGTACTATATATTATTGATTTTGTATTGTGCGCGATATTGTTGTGCCATAAGCTATATACTATATGCTTTATATTATAGCGTAGTCTGAAATCTACTTAACTCAGATACAAGGTATATTTTTTATATCCGCATAGGTCAGAGGTCTTACCTCTTAATTAATAGTCAGTCGTAGTTATCCAGATCAGGATTAATAAACATAAAACAAGCACATAGCTCAGCGCAATAATTATGTTGCACGACTATTTTCCAACATGCAGATTTATGAAGGCCTTTTAAAATGTAGAGATATTTATAAATTATACATGCAAATATTATGAATTAACAATACCGAAATGTATACGTTAAATATATTAAAAGCGTAATTTATGGCCACGCGTGTAATATTTTGATTTTTTACCTAGAATACACTAGACAGTTCACATACCTACCATTCTGACTGACAAGTCTATATAATACGTAGCTATTTGAAATTTAATGATTAATAAATTATATCACAAGCAATAAAGCTTTTCTTAATGCCGTCATAAAGGATATTGGAAATAATGTATGCCATCGGGTTTTTCAAAGAAATAATAATTATTTTATTTTGTTGTAATTTGATACTATCGCGGTCCCTTCGTTTTTTGGCTCTAGGAAATCGAAAAAACATCCGATTTCAATGATTTTAAATCTTCGTTTTTGCAGCGAATTTACAAAAAATTATAGAATAAAAAATTTAAACTTATATATTGGTTTCAGGGCTTTAAACGTCCATGAAAATGCACTCATTTACGTATAATTGTTGATAAATTTTTTAAAAATAAGCGAATGAAGTTGTTATATTTTTTTCATTATCTACACAACAAAACGAACATTAAAAAAATTGAACAATGTTTGTTTATTAATTTTTAATTTTGGCGTTTTATTGAGTGTAAGATCGAGACTTAGGGCATCCTGACTCGGATAGGTTAGGTTAGAAGAAGATGGCGGGTTCGAGTGAGCGAGCAAATAGATCCCGCCATCTCCTTCGTGGTTATTTTTATATAAACCAGTCACAAGTAGAAGCTCGCTTCTCCCTCATTCTTGGCCATCAGCCACCTCCCCTAATAGACACGAAAACCTTCACTAATTGGAAGGGATTCAAGGAGTCCCTAGCTAAAGCTCTGGACTCACAGGACTCTACCATCTCCCTACCGTCGGACTTAGACAGTCCCGAAAAAATCGACACCGCGGTCGATTCACTCTCCACCCTTATTAAATCCTCCCTTAAGGAGAACGAAAGGGTCGTCCCGGTTGCTAACAATAGTGGGCTTCCCCTACATATTAGCAACCTATTAAAAGCCAAAAAAGCTGCTTTCCGGAGAGCAGCAAAATATCCCACCCCCGAATATAGGTGCACGGCCAAACGTCTTCAACGAGAACTCCGTTTCCGCCTCTCTGAATTTCGAGACCTCGAAAAGAGTAAACTCATGGAGAATACCTCTCCATCTCATACAGCGTACTATCAGATGGCTAGAGCCCTCCGCATAGACGCTATCACCCACACTCCCCCTCTCTCTCGTCCCGACGGTACGGTTGCCCTCGAGGACGAGGAAAAGGCTGAGTGCTTTGCAGATAGCATTGCCGCACAATGCTCTACTAGCTCTCAACCCGTCGACCCCTCACACGTCCAGGCAGTGGAGGATGAGGTCCGCCGGCGGAATTCACCCCCTTCAGCCTCCGAACCTATCTCTGTGTCCAATAATGAGATTTCATCCCTCATCAAAGGAATTAAGCCTAAAAAGGCTCCGGGCGCGGATGGCATCTCCAACCAAGCCCTAAAACACTTTCCTGAGCAGGTGTTAACCTTTTTATCTATTATCTTCAACGCCTGCTTCAACCTTAGTTACTTTCCCACTACGTGGAAAGAGGCAGCTGTGATTGGTATTCCCAAGCCAGGCAAGCCTCTCAACCTCTCCTCCAGTCATCGCCCCATTAGTCTCCTCAAGGCAATGGGCAAGCTCTTCGAAAGAGTCATCCAAACTCGTATGAGGCGCTATCTGTTTCCACAGACGGTGACCCTCTTATCATTCCCCAACAATTCGGTTTCCGAGCGCAACACTCATGTCCCCAACAAGTTCACCGTGTTGTGGAATATATCTTCAGCGGTTTTTATCCTCGTCGTCATAAGACCATCGCGGTCTTTTTCGACATAGCTAAAGCCTTCGATAGAGTCTGGCATATAGGCCTTATCTACAAGCTGTACAAAATAGGTCTCCCCAATCGTCTAGTACGTCTCGTGGCCTCTTACTTAAAGCATCGTACCTTTCATTTTAGACACGAAGGCACGCTATTTTCATAGCGCCCTATCAAAGCTGGTGTCCCTCAGGGCTCTGTACTTGCTCCTCTGCTGTAAATCCTGTTCACTAACGACATTCCCATCCCGTCGAAAGGTATTCAGCTCTCCCTATTCGCAGACGACACTGCTATCTACTGCAAAGGTATCTCGCTACCTTTCATAAGGAACAAGGTTCAAAAGTCAGTTGACGACCTAGGAGCTTGGTTCAAAAAATGGCGCATCTATGTGAACCCGGAGAAGAGCTCCGCCGTTCACTTCGATTATAAACGACGCCGTCTCAAAAACAATCCACCAATACGTATGCTAGGGACCCCTGTCTCCTGGCGTACGACTGCCAAATATTTAGGTGTCACTCTAGACACAAGGCTCACTTTCAGGCCCCCCGTCAAAAGAGTAACCCGTCACGCACGTTTTTACCTGAGTAGGCTCAACAGTATGTTGGGCCGACACAGTAAAATGTCCCTTAGAAACAAGCGTACCCTTTATAAGGTCTGTATACGACCAGTCATGTCCTACGTGGGCCCCGTTTTTGCCCACGCCGACCCTAAAATTATTAATGAACTCCAAATAGTTCAAAACCTTTTCTGTCGTCGAGCTGCGAACGCACCTTGGTACGTCCGTAATGCCGACCTTCATCGGGACCTAGAGCTCCCCACAATTCAACAATTTCTCAAAAAACTCTCTGAGAACTTCTTCAAAGCCTCAGAGTCGCACTCCAACCATTTTATTCGTGAGGCAGCTACTTATGCAGCCCCACCCCCCTCTCGCTATCGAGTCCGCAGGCCGAGGAACTCTCACTCGGACCCGCCTAATAAACTATCAAACGACCTGAACTGCCTGCTGGCGGCTCAGGCCAGCTCTAATTAAATTAAATTATTTATTCATAATTAATTTGCCTTCGTAGGCACTCCCTCAGCGGCTCGTAGCCGCCTGCGCCCTCTTTTTCCAAAAGAGGGTCGCTCACGATACGGCACAATAAAGCTTAATCAGCCAGTTGCCAGTCCCTAAAGGCGGTTTTTAGAGGGTATCACTTAGGTTCCCCGGTAGGATGTGAGTCCCTCATAACCACGATAGACCGGCTATCGTGGTATGCGTAATGCATTTTCCGCCTCCCTACGTATAGGGTAGCCCTTTAATTACTTCGGGCGCAAAAAAAAGCCCGCTTACTTCGCTCGCTCACTCGACCCCGCCATCTCCTTCTAAGCTAATCTGTCAGAGTTGGGATGCTCAAGTCCCGAGCTCACTTTGCTCAATCTTACACTCACTAAAACACCAAAACATTAACTTTTATGATTATTTTGTTTTTCTAGAGCGTTTATGATAACATTTAAAGTTAGAAAATCATATGAAAAATTAAGAAACAAACAATATTTAATGTTTTTTTAATGTTAGTATATATATATATATATATGTATATATATAATATTCTAGTATAATAATAATATTCCACAACTACCACACACAACGCCATCTAGTCCCAAGCTAAGCAGAGCTTGTGTTATGGGTACTAGACAACTGATAAACATACTTATATATTTCTAAATACATAAATATTATAGATAAATTACACCCAGACACAGAGCAAATGATCGTGCTCATCACACAAACATTTGTCCTGGGTGGGAATCGAACCCACGACCTCCGGCATAGCAGTCAGGGTCACTAACCACTAGACCAACAGGCCGGTCAATATATATATATATATATATATATATATATATATATATATATATATATATATATATATATATATATATATATATATAGTATATACGTTTAAAGCTTGTAATGAACATATATTCGAAGAAGTGTGTTTATGATTACGTTTAAAGTCGTAAAACTATATCAAATCTTCAGATGAGATATTTTCCACATATTTTTTCAAACGAAGATTTAATAATAAACATTCATCGATATCGGATCATTTTTGATTTTTCTAGAGCCAATAAACGAGGGGACTGCGAAAGTATAAAATATTTTGTTTCAATACTGAGTCATAAATAATATTGAATCGAAGCGCTTTTTTAAAATAATTATAGAAATTACATTACTCTACCAACCAAACTAATGTTTAACGTGACGTTACAAATCGTTTTATGCTGTTACTCTCATAGCGCGATGAGACGGCATTCCGACGCGACCAGAGGGAGATCAGAAGCAGGACCAACGGCTAAGTGTGCTTTTCGAGTAAGAGTTTCTTGATAGTAAAATTCCATGACTTGCTACAATTATTAAAGGCCTGTATAAAAGCCAAAGTTGACCATTTTGAATAGAATATTATTTTTATGTTTTGCTGAGACTTTAACAAATATACACACATAGTAATATTACATTACTTCATTAAAAAAAATGCATTTTCATTTGAAACAGAACTTATGGCCGGACTAGGTACATATATGATCCTACTTCTGCCTTCACTGTAGTTCGGTAAAATAATCGAAGATGTAACTTTTCTTTATAAATTTTTTATATATCATAAAGTATGTAAAAACAGTTTAACTAGGTAAACGAACTCACAGGTCAGCTATATTTTTTAATTTTAAATTTAACTGATAATAACATGATCTTTTTTTAACGTAGTAAATTTTATAATTCAAAAAGCTTAATTATGTTTTTATTTGTATATACGACTTCATGTACATGTATGATGGTTTTACTAACCGACAACCAATAAACTCCTGGTATAGGCCATTTTGGATTTTGTTCTACTAAAACGCCTGTGTCATGATCCCACGAAGGAACAGGATAGTCTATATCCATTGGCATATCAGACATGAGGTAACTTGTATAATGATTTATTCCAAAGAAATCTGAGCTACCACGCAATAAGTCAATCTGTGAAGAGAAAGTAAAGGAACACATTAATTTTTTGTCATGTAAACATAGTTAAGAGTCACTCTAGCGACAAAGTCGTTAGGCCCGATGGTTAGGACAGAATTAAGATAACATTTAATTTTTATTTATATTTTTAACTTGTGCGTAGAATACATATTATTGTTATTTATACAGTATTTTAGCATTATATTATATTTCTGTTTCTATTATAAGGGCCAAATTTTTAATCGTTAGATAAAAGGTATCCAACAAATAAATTATAACCTAACTCAAATATAATAGTGAAACAATTGAACTGTTTTATTCATACAAGAATATTTTTAAATCGGTTACGTTGTAGAGTAACTTTTATCTTACGATTTAACGGCCTTAATGTATTAAGTATATTGCAAAATGTTACTTTACAATTATTACCTACTTAATACACCTATCACATTATCTCATTGGGTCCAGAGTTTACCGGAAGAGAATGCGAAAAGGCATTATGTTCACTCACTGAAAATCTTTTGATATTATAGTATATCATATATATATATCAGTAATATATATCACAATTTGGGCGACTTGAAGGCAAAAATGAAAAGACTTTTGTTAAACTAAGTCAATGTGATTTACCAACTAGGGCTTCATTATCATATACCACCCGATGAGATTTTAGCCTAGTAGCTTGTAATAAAAAAAAAACAAATAGGTATAAACAAATAAACTGCCTCACATTCTGGCTCTCTAACAATTCACATCTGAACACTAATTGTTGTTAATTGGCACAAAAAGAAAGAATACCTACGAACAATTGCTTCTAGGCAATGGAAGCTTTTATTAACTTTTTTAAAATTATGAGTTTACGCCGAATCGTATCAGCATTGTTTTCATTTTTGAGCTTACACCTCGACCAATTAGTTACAATACTCTTAGAAATATCAATACTTATAAGTATTTCGATGTGTATGTTCCAGTTTTTGCCAATAAATTTACAGGCTTAAAGCTATACCTGTTGATACCATAAAATATTTTACTATTTTATGGTATGTTGTTCTCACTAGGTCATACAACTTATTTTTAATACAAAAAATAAGTATGACCTAGTGAGTACAACCTGGAGTTTTTAAAAGATTAGAGTTGAAAGAAAAAAAGTAGTAAAATGATTAGCAGATATTTAGAATTTATTTAAGATAAAGTGATATGTATATACTGATAAGTTTATACGGATAAGAAACATACCTCTTTTCTTGAAAAATATGGTAAACGGGATCTCGTATAGCCTTGCGAAAGACTTAAATTGTCAATACGTTCTCGGACCAGGTCCGGATAGTCACCTTCCAAGGAATATATCGGGTGTGCGAAAATTCCCAGCTAGTAAAAAACAAAAAAATATAATGTTTATTAAAATATTGCCAGAAAATAATACTAGTTTTTACGGAATTTATCGCGTATATTTAACTTTTTAAATACCCGACGTTTCGAACGCTTTACAGCACTCATGGTCACGGGCGGGACTGAGATGTTCAACGCCCAGATTTCATAGTTAACCGCGGTTACCATAGATTAAAATTTAACTTTTGTTCCGATCTACACAGTATGAACTTATGGTATCTTGAAGTCTTGCAGTTGTATGCTTGGATTGGGATTTAATTTTATTTATTATAGGATCCCAAGCAGATGGTGGCACCCAGTTATCTTCTCTATTGAAATTAGGATGTTTTTTTATTTCAATAGCCTCGCGAATCATCCTTGGAAGGAATCGGTGTTCTTTAGCGAGGATTTGTGGTCTATCAAATCTGATGTAGTGACGGGGGGCGATCCTGTACGTGTTCACAGACTGCAGACTTCCCGGAGCGTCGATTCTTCACATCAGCTATATGTTCTTTAACGCGAGTTTTAATTGATCTTTTAGTTTGTCCTATGTAGGAGAGACACACACACATTCACAATCAAGCTTGTACACTCCTGCATCTTGCAGAGGAACATTAAACTTGACTGATGGTAAAAATTGACCAATTTTCTTCTGCGGCTTGAAGTATGTTTTGATGGAAGCGCGCTTCAAGATGTAGCCAATCTTGTCAGTGACGCCTCTAACATATGGCAGTACAGCAGGTACACGCTCGACTGTGGCCGGCTTCACTCGTTGACTGTGACGTAGGCGCGGGAAGCGAAGCTTGTTGTCATGCAAAACTTGCTTGACATGGTGGAGCTCGGCAGCCAGGTGTTTACTGTCACAGATCCCTCGTGCTCTCTGAAACAAAGATTTACCCACGGTAGGATGGTGGTGAGAATCACCGTTTAAATATCTATTTGTATGGGTCTTTTTTTATACACAGTATGGCTCAAGGTGTTATCAGGACTCCGAATTACTATCACATCTAGAAAAGCTAAGGAATTGTTTGCTTCTAACTCCATTGTGAACTGATTTTAGAATTTATAGAGTTACGATGGTCTAAAAATGCAGTTACTTTATCTAAAGGTAGAATTGTGAAAGTGTCGTACTACGTACCGCTTGTAGAATCTTGGATTTATGGGAGAAGTAAGCAGGGCTTTCTCCTCAAAGTCTTCCATGAATATGTCGGTGACAATGGGAGATACAGGTAGCCCATCGCTACATCATCATCTACTTGCCTGTAGAACTCCTCCTTCCACAATAGGTAGCCAGATGTAAGGCAGTGTCTGAATAATACTGCATATTCTACGGGCATGTTGTTTTCTTCCAGCCTTCTAGTTACAATTGAGATGCAGTCTTCAACAGGTAAGCATGTAAACAATGACTGCACATCAAAACTGACCATAGTTTCATAGTCTGCTAGATGTGGGTCTTTAATCTCGCTGACAAAATGGTAAGAATCCTTTATGTGTGCTCTTGTATGTCCCCTGAGCGGTGAGAGTATTTTTGATAAGTGTTGAGCCAATCTGTAAGTTGGTGAATCGATTTGGCTCACTATGGGACGTAATGGAGTATTGGGCTTATGTATTTTTGGCAACCCATACAATTTTAGCGATTTGGCGCACGTAGGTACTATTCTTTTAAATTTTTTTCTGGACACTGGACTGGAACTGGATATAAAATTAAATCTGGACGTAAAGTGGATAATAACTAACAGCAGTTAACTATGACATCTGGAAGTTGAACATCTCAGTCCCGCCCATGACCATGAGTGCTGTAAAGCGTTCGAAACGTCGGGTATTTAAAAAGTTAAATATACGCGATAAATTCCGTAAAAACTAGTATTATTTCAATGTGTAGTGTTCGCGTAAATATAAGAATTCATTATATTGCCAGAAAAGTTGTTACCAAAAACATGTTAAAAAGTAACTTACACGCATCTGAAGATATCTCTCAGCAGCTAACACGTCTGAATGATTTGATTTGTCCTTCGGTACTGCCCAAAATGCATCTAGTGTTAATCCAATTTTACCTACAATAATAACATATTTGTAATTATTACGAAATATTATTTTTTGTGGTAATTTTAACAATTTTAAAGTAAAATAATAATGATTTAAATTAAAAACCTTTTTGATGAGGTCTAAATTTTTTGTCGTATAGGTGATAAACCCTGGAATGCCCAAGTAGTAAATAATGAGCACACAGGTACTCTCCAAATCCACCGGACTTCATTGCTGGGACAAACTCATCGCTACCGTATCCCTTAAACAAGAAAAATACGTGAAAAAAATAATTGATACTCTTACTTTTCTCATTTTTTTTTACAATCCTCTACTGAACATGGGTTTCTTCAATTTAAATGAGGATTGATGTAAACGTCATGTTTTGAACCCAGATTGACGTTCGCAATTATACTAAACGATACCTTTGACATTGCAGTCTATCCGATATTTTACATCCGGATTGTACGTGATGTTTATACTGCTATCTTAGACTCCATGAAAACTTATCGCCAATTTTACTCTTGCAATATCTATGGGTATGTTATGTGGCCACTGTTAAAGTAATTTAATCTATCTATAAAAAATAACAACGTTTATTCCAGTTTGTACTCTAACTCGGTTCTTAAGAGTTAGCAGTCGAGTACTCGCCACCACTACGCCACGCAGTTTTCAACACAATATGTTATAATTATTATATACTAATTATAAGTATATATTTTATACGCGGTAGAGTTATATTAGTAGCATAGTTGTAGCACGAATGGGTCGGCTCGACCGGGGAAGGACCATGATTCACAGAATACCAGCGTAAAATATAGTGAGTGTAGAGAACCGGAGACCCTTTTTACTGGGAAAGAGGTATTCCACCTTAGTCCTCACGAGTGACAACGCATCTGTATTTTGATTTGCAATCTAGGATAGATGAAGATGTCTACGGGCCGCAGCAACCACTTACCATCAGGTGGACTGTGTGCTCGTTTGTCACCCTATCCCATATAAAAAAAATTATCAACACGTTAGTAAAAATACTTTCTTTTTATACGTACTTTATAACAATGTTGGTGAGGTTCGTTTATAGTAGACCATGTCTTAATTATATCTCCAAAAAGAGTAAATGCAACATTTGCGTAATCTTCAAAATAATCTATCATTTTAGGATTGCTCCATCCTCCTAAATCCATAAGCGGGGTTGGCAAATCCCAATGGAAAAGCGTTACCACAGGAGTTATATTTTCTTTTAAAAGCTCCTTGAAGATGCTTCGATAATATCTCACCCCGTCTTTATTTATGAAGTTATCATACCCGTTCGGTAGAATTCTGGAAAAAATCGTATATGAAAGATATTGTAAAACGATATACTTTGATTGTATAAGGAATGATTTGCCAGTTTGTTAGTTTGCGTAATTTTTATGTTTTTCCATTCAATTTTAATGGTATGTTTGTTAAATAGGCTTTTGTTAGGCTGAGTCAGTGCGCTTTACCATCTTTGGCTGCATCGCCACTTATTATCAGTAGTCAATCACAGGCTCACAATGGTTAAAAAACATACACGACAGCTCATGTAGACTTCTCTGTCTATATGTGAATATACAGCTCAGAACTGTTTCACTTAGTAGGTAAGAAATATTTAAAAGTAATATATAGTTTTTTATGTTTTACTTTCTTTAGCTACAACGTAAATAAGATATTTTTTATTTATAACTTATTTTTATCTTAGGGTTTGCTTAATGAAATAGATTCATAATATGTTTTTTTCCATAGCTATCTATATATCTCTGCTTAATTTTGGATTTAATCTTTATAGTCTCATAAATATCAATTGACAAGGATCCGAACAAAATCTAAGCCTACATTTATATTCATTACACTTCCTGCAACTATAGCAGGTACTTTATTATCTAACGGAATGGAACATCCTTTAAAGTAATTCATCTATATAACCATTAAATGGTGCTAAATAACGTAAGTGTAACGTAAAAAGGGTTTTAGCAAAAATAAAAAATAAACTAATAACCCGTAGAAGCTTTACTTCAACTAGAACGCAACTACCAAACATTTGATGATTAAATTACAACGAGCATTAATGTGAATGGTTGTTTATTTTAGTGGAAAAAAGTGCGTTCAGCTTTGTGGCGCGGCTGATATAAAAATTATGAATATTTACAACTATTTATTTAGTTTCGTTATTATTTATTTTTATATTTACTTATTGATAAATAATTTATCACTAAAATTATTATTATTATCAATTTCGAACTACCTATATAAATGGAATATAATATTGAAATTTACTTAATATGTGTGATCAGATACTAACTTTATAGTACCTACCAGTAGATGTATATTAACTATACAAAATTTTTTTAACGTTACTTTCGTCCAAAAACGATCTAAGTTACCTTGAAGTCACGTTTAAGGAATTTTATTAAAAACAAACATAGACCACAAAACTTAGACGATACCAAATTGTTGAAAACTGATTCTGGCAAACATTGTAATTGTTTATTAAGAAAAAAGTCACCCTCTTTTTAATACTTATTTATTTTAAAATGTAAAAAGGAAGCTTTACCTTGGCCAGGAAATAGACATTCTGTAATATTTGACACCAAGAGATTTGATAATGCTAATATCTGATTTGTACTTGTGATAAGAATCGGCAGCAATATCTCCGTTTGATCCATCTATTGTAAAATTTGGATGCTTGTGTAGATAAGTGTCCCATATACTTTCACCCTTACCTAAAACAGTTACAACCATATTTTTAACTTCAATAGATAAACAAACTAATTGGATAAACCTCCCGAGATAAAATTATATAGTTATTAGAAGTAGTAATTTGCTATATTAATTATTCTAAAAAAATCTAAGAATGTTGTTGTACACAAGTCAAAAACGAAAATGATTATTTTATTCAGATTTTATTACGAATGTGACGTTAGATGTGATATTGACATTTAAACAAACTCATAGTATATGAATATTGAATTATAATAAAACTAAAGACGTACTTTTCATATCTGATACTGGTTTTCTTTTAATTTTTGAATGTCTTCTAAATGTACAAGTATATTAATAAATCAAAAAAATACTATAATTTAAAATTACCTCCTATATTCCATCCACCTTCAATTTGAAATGCGGCCGTCGCTACTCCAAATATAAAATCTTCAGGAAAGGAATAGTTGCTCAACCCAGAGCTGTCGACTAGAGCACTCACTCCTTGTGCCAAGCACAAAAGGCTGCATACAGAGAGTTATATATAGACTAAATTGAAAGTTAGAATACCTTACGTTAACGTTACGACCCCCCACTAGATGGAGTGACGACCTAGTAAGACATGCAGGAAGTTGATGGTTGCAGGTGACTCAAGACCGTGGTTTGTGGCATTACTTAGGGGAGGTTTATGTTCAGCAGTGGACTTGTGAAGGGCTGTAATGATGATGATGATGATGAAGTAAAAGATGAAATGAAAGTTACTGGATTAGTATAACTTAAAGTAGTATTTGTAATATTGTTTAAATATTTCATCACCATAATCACTACTAACTATCACTAGTCAAAAGCCTCCCACAAAGAATTTCATAAACCATGAACCTGTGCAGCCTGCGTCCGTCTACTTCCTACATTTTTTACCATGTCATCATTTCATCTAGTGGAGGGCCACCCTGCACTTCATTTCGGTTTGAAATTTATCAAATATTTATCGGTGAAAATTATGTTATTACATAAAATTTTCATAAGATTTTGTTATAACTGAATGTAAATAACTTCATCGAAAGCAAGATCTTAAGGCTTAAAAATTTTGCAAATGTATTTTATTACCCGTTTAACACTATTCGATTTAAATTATGTAAAAAGTAAATAAAGAATTATTCTAAAAAAAATATTTTCGCATACAAAAAACCACTAGGGTAAATAGACGCAAAAATACGAGTACATTTTTTCGTAAAGCTATCAAAGACTTAGACAACATTTAGCACACAACATAGCACCAGTATTATCACAAAATAGGTTGCAAAATAATTAACCTGAGGCTCGCCAAACGAGCACTGCTCTGGGCGACTCTACTCGAGCTCCGCATTGTTCAAACTAAAGTGTAGTTTACATTCAGTCATTAATACAATATTTAACTACGGAACAACCTTCGGGGGATTTCCTTAGAGAAGGACATGAACAAGATAAATTCTATCAATAAAGACCTAGCCATAACCTCAAATATTTTACGATATGAAGTCTGAATCCTATGACTCTCATTGTCCTCTCGCCTAATCATCAAAGTTATAAGGTTATATGTGACTAATATACCATTATATTGATTTAAGTTTTGTAAAGTATTTTTCTATCAAGTTTGTCTAATAGGTACATTTAACATAGTTATTGGATTTTATTTACAAGCAGTTAAAATGGAAAAGTTTATAACTACTACAAGTTTTTTTTTAATATTTTAAAAATTGAATTTTATAATTGGATTGTTGTAAAGAAGAATTCATCGGAACGTTAATAAATTTAAAAATACATACCTTATTTAAAATAAGTAGGATATGCTTTACAGTGTTATCCAAATAAGTTTATTGTGTTATTTTAGAGATAATAAAACCACAATGTTTACCACGGGAGTCGTAAGTGGCAACAAAAGGAAACTGAAACAGAATTAGGCAGCACCATATTATAAATAATAACTGAAAATAATAAAAACTGCAATAATTGCTATCACGTTTGTCAGGCATGGCAAATATGGCAAAATTTCCTCTATGAGGATGGGGCTCCCTTGTGAACAATAAAATTTTCAAAATCCAAAAATAAAGATGGTTTGATAAATTTTACACGAATTTTAGCCTATACTGACACTAAACACCGCTGTCTGAGTAGAAGATTATATTATTTTAAAAAATTAAGTTTTTAAACGCAGACGAACTTTTAGCCATTGCGCTACCAATGGCTAAATGTTAGTCTGCGTAGCTGTGAAGACGCTGATTTGAATCCAGCAAAGAACAGACAGGTGTTTGTGTGGCTTTAAAATTATTATTTTATGTTTGATTTTTTTTGCATTGCATTTTATACCTGTAAAATACCTCTACGATACTAAAAAAAATCTATACCTTTTACATTACATTTTACATTATACGTGGTAAAGCTCTGCTGCAGTTATAGTGGAAGTATAGTGGTAGCACGAATGGGTCGGCTCGAGCGGGGAAGGACCACGCTCTCACAGAATACCAGCGTGAAATAGTAGCTTAATGCTGTTGTGTTTCGTATGGTGACCCTAAAGAACCGGAGACCCTTTTTACTGGAAACGAGGCATTCCGTCTTAGTCCTCACGGGTGACAATGCATCTCCATTTTGATTCGTAATCGAGGATAGATGCAGATATCTATGGGCCACAGCAACCACTTACCATCACGTGGACTGTGTGCTCGTTTGTCACCCTATCCTATAAAAAAATAATAATATAAAAAATGTTTAGTTATAATGTAAGGCTATAAAAATGAAGGAATATTATAAGTTATTTAAAAACCCATTCAGACTAGATTACGTGTTGACGCCGATTCAAAAATCCGTCTTTTAAACAGTTTAGAAGTTTTAGAAACGATGACTGAATGGAGGAAACTTATGATTACAAAACTTTCTTATAATATCTGGTTGTCATAGAAGAGTTATAAATAAAATGTATAATTCTTTAATTGGGTTCTAGATAGTGTAAGTAAATATGGTTTTTTACTTGCCCTATGGTGGTCACATAGTGGTCTAAATTCGACCGCAAAATGGATATATAAAATACAAATAGCCCTAATATTACATTACACTCCCCGAATTAGCATGGGTGCAATTTATATGTGGTGTCATTTATATTTAAAAAAAAAAAAAAACACTATTCGATCGACTTAGAGTTTGTAGCTTTGGTTATGATAGTTTATCGTTATGAAAAGTGCGCTAAACAATAAAATATTATATTCATTTTATAACATTTATCTACCATGATGTTCGTTGACTTTAGTGGATCGATCCAAATTTGTCCATGGCTTATAGATTTAAACGTAATATATAAAAATCTTCACTAACAAGATTTATTCTTTCATCGCCTTGTGGTATAATATGTCTTTTGAGCAAGAACTTCACAAAATGCCGGTTTTCATGTGCAGAGAACAAAATTAATTTCCAAGTTAAATAATATACTATGAGTAAACTTAATGAGATAAACATTTGCCATTGCGGGAATTTTCTCTAAGATTTTTTAAGAACGATACTTCATTAGTAAATTATTTTGCTACCGATATCTTAAGGTTAAGTCAGCTTACATTAAACGCTGGTTAATCAATTTTAGAGATTTAATTACAAAACATTGAAATTTCTCCTCTATTCAAAACTTAATCAGAATATATTGTACATACAAATATTCCGCTACTGTCCCAATTTCATATTTATACGTCCAGTGGTTTAGGCTCTGCGTCTTAATGCATAATTTTTCTTAAAAACTTTACACCCTCGTTTTAAGAATCCTAAGCCGAGTATTCCGGTGAGTATTGAGGGGGTGAATGAACCAGGAGAGATAGCAAACTTATTTCAAAAGCATTTTAAAGTAAGATCACCGAACATTTCGTGTGAGTGTGAGTGTCAAATGTTGAGGAAGGCCAGACGGGCGCGGGCGTGCCGATTAGTTTTACGCCGAATGAAGTTTTCGACGTAATTAAAAATATGACGAGGGGTAAATCGCCAGGGCATGATGGCCTCAGTATTGAGCATCTTCTGCATGCAGGGCCTCATCTCTCCAGGCTTCTAGCTACCTTCTACACCATTTGCATGAGACATTCCTATCTTCCTGAGCAGCTGATGAGAACTATTGTTGTGCCTATAGTAAAAAATAAAACTGGAGATATATCTGACAAAGAGAACTATAGGCCCATCTCATTAGCTACTATCATGGCTAAGGTGCTTGACAGTCTGCTTGAGCGGCATCTCAGTGGATATCTAAAATTACATGATGCTCAGTTCGGATTTAAAAAGAGTCTCTCCACGGAGAGTGCAATATTAACACTCAAGCATACTGTTAGGTACTATACCAATAGGAAAACACCAATTTACGCTGCCTTCCTGGATCTGTCAAAGGCATTTGACCTAGTTAATTATGATATTCTGTGGAAGAAGCTGCGTGAAGTGGCCTTACCAAGCGAGTTGATTGAAATATTTAAATACTGGTATGGCCATCAAATAAATCAAGTCAGATGGACAGAGGCACTTTCCAAAGAGTACAGGTTAGAGTGCGGGGTTAGACAGGGTGGCCTAACTTCACCAGCGCTCTTCAACCTGTACATTAACCAGTTAATCGTTGAGCTCAGCAACGCTGGTGTCGGCTGCTCAATAGATGGGCATTTCGTTAACAGCATAAGCTATGCAGACGACATGGTGTTGCTGAGCCCATCGATTAACGCACTGAGGACATTACTTAATATTTGTGATACTTATGCTGAGACTCACGGTCTCATTTATAATGTAAAAAAAAGTGAATTGTTGTTATTTCGAGCTGGATCAAAAATTGAAACGATTCCACCTGTTAAATTAAGGAACGTACAGTTAAATAGAGTGTATCAATTTAAATATTTTGGTCACGTTTTAACTGAGGATCTGACTGATGATGCGGACATTGAAAGAGAAAGAAGGGCATTGGCGGTTCGCTGTAACATGCTGTCCCGTAGCTTTGCACGCTGTACAGAAGAAGTTAAGGTAACACTTTTCAAAGCCTTTTGCCAATCATTTTACACGTGCAGTCTATGGGTTAAGTATACGCAGAGAGCCTACAATGCCCTTCGGGTACAATATAATAATGCCTTCAGGATGCTAATGGGGTTTCCGCGGTATTGTAGCGCTTCAGGGATGTTCACAGCGTACGGTACGGACGGTTTTCATGCCATAATTCGAAAAAGAATAGCATCCCTCATGCGCAGGGTTCGTGGAAGCTCTAATAGCATTCTGAAGGCAATATCTAATAGATTTGATTGCCCCATCCTAGGGCACTGGATGCGTATGCACTTGCATGTGCCTGGTGTCATGGGGTGCCAAAAATAAAAAACTAATTGTTATGAAAATTGTACGTGTAATGATTTAAGACTAACATAGGTTAAGCTAATTTACTAACATATTATGGACTATATGTGGGTCTGAAATAAATTATTATTATTATTATTATTATTAAAACTATAAAGGTAATTCTCGAAAATATAAAAAAATATAATTTTATTATATCGATTCAAGAGTATTTGTACTTTTAAAATTACAAGAACTATTTGAACACTCTCTGGCAACCTGTAGGAGTTTATATAATGATTTCTTATATTTACGCGAACACTATACATGTTTAAAACTACTTTTACGGATTTTATCGCGTTTATTTTTACTTTTTATTTACTTTTATTTTTAATTCCCGACGTTTCGGGCGCTTTCCAGCACCCATGGTCACAGGAGACTGAGATGACTGACGTCCCGATGTCATTGTTAAACCCGGAGTACCTTCAGCTTTTTTAATTATTGTTTATGGTCCAATCTATGCAAAATGAACTGACTACGTCCTGAGGTCTTGCAGTGATATGCTTGGGTTTAGTTTTAATTTTATTGATTATAGGATCCCAAGCAGGTGGTAGTACCCAGCCTCCTTCTCTATTGAAATTAGGATGTTTTTTAATTTCAATAGCCTCACGTATCACCCTTGGTAGGAATCGGTGTTCTTTCGCGAGGATTTGTGGTCTATCAAATCTGATGTAATGGTTGGGTCCGTATAGGATATGATCACAAACTGCAGACTTCCCGGAACGTTGATGCTTCACATCAGCTATATGTTCTTTTACGCGGGTCCTAATTGATCTTTTTGTTTGTCCTATATAAGAGAGACCACATTCACAATCAAGCTTGTACACTCCTGCATCTTGTAGAGGAATATGACACTTGACGGATGGTAGGAACTGACTAATCTTCTTCGGCGGCTTGTAGAATGCTCTAAAAGAAGCTCGCTTCAAGATATAGCCAATCTTGTCTGTGACACCTCTGACATATGGTAGTACAGCAGGCACACGCTCGACTGTGGCCGGCTTC